CATGACAAAGAGACACACACATAGACAAAGACACACATGCACAGACACATAGACACACACATACACACAGACAAGGACAAACACACACAGACAAACACAGACAAAGACAACACACAGACAAAGACACACAGACACACACAGACAAAGACACAACCACAGACAAATACATACACACAAACACAAGGACACACATGACACACATAGACAAAGACACACATGACAAAGAGACACATACAAAGACACACATGACAAAGCGACACACATAGACAAAGACACACATGCACAGACACATAGACACACACATACACACAGACAAGGACAAGCACACACACACACACACACACACACACACACACACACACACACACACCAAACAAATATGTATAAAGAATAGACACCTATTTAGTAAATGTTATTAGAAGTTTGGAAAATTTCAAATTTGTTCTTCAGCTATATAGTTTCATAAGTTTCATAAGTCTTTGTTGTTTCACTGTAAGTAAATTATAATACCACTAGGCAAATATTTAAATGCATAAATATTTAAATGAACAGGGACAAAAGACATCTATTTGTGGCCTCCTTATGAGATTGCAGAATTTATGTACTATTGTGAATACATTTGAACCAATCAATTCCAACATAAATTTATTAAATCTGATTGGTAGCCCTTCACACAGGAACACTGAGTCCTAAGAAACTGATGGCATTGTTCTCCATCATTAACGAGATAGTGGATGCTGAATTCACGCTTGTTTATTGGACTGTAGTTAAAATAGCAGAAAGTTCAGTAAATAGGAGCCAGTGCTGAGCTAATGAGCACAGGATTGCTGAGGTTCCCAAAGGGTAACCATCCCTGTGACATCCACTGTGGAAAGAGGAAGCCATAGGTTTTTATGTTAACAATATCGTGCTTGTTATCGTTGGGACTTATTATCTGTTGATTTTGTTGTTGTTTGTGAGCGAGCAAATGATTGTATAAATGAATGAAAAAAGTGTTCAAACCTAGACTAGTGATCTTGAAGCATGTCAGGAGGAATTTTATTAAACTCCAAAGTCCCAAGGACCAGTGGGAAGATAAAACAACTACTGTTTTTATGGGAAAAGATTGTAAGAAGAATCAGATTTTTTTTTTTTTTGGTCTATTAAGATTCTTTAGTTCAAGCTGGGTGTTGGTGGCTCATGCCTTTAATCCCAGGACAATCAATGGAAGGCAGAGGCAGGTGAATCTTTGTGAGTTCAAGTCCAGCCGGGTCTACAAAGTAAGTTCCAGGACAGTCAGAGCTACACAGAGAAACCCCATCTCTTAACATCCCCGCAAAGATCCTTTAGTTCAATTTATATTTTTGTAAGTGAATCAATACATGAATAAAGGAATAAAATATGTAAGTGAATAAAAAAATAAAGGAGAGCCATGGATGGATCAATTACAGGAGTATGTGATGAAATGAGGAAGAGAAATAGGATTAATTCAATTTGGAAGTGCTAAAGTCCACTTCTCGGGGAGGGGCATAATAAGAAGGCCCTAGGAAGAACTGGGTGATGTTGCTTGCCAGCAAGCTGTTTCTTTAAATGTTTCTTTCCCACACCTTTTCCCCCCTATTATTTTATTTTTCAGATCAGTTCATCAGTGTAAAAAAATTGTTAAATGCCCACATAATTGCCAGATGAGCAGAGACCAATGATAAGAATGTTAAACCCAAACTGTCATTTTTATTGGTTTTCTTTCTTTCTTTCTTTTTGAAGGAAAGGATCTATTTGGCTTAACAATTCCAGGCTGCCAAAATGGAAAAATAACCAAGGCTGTCATTCCTTAAGGCCGTGGTTATAGGCAGATCAAGATATTTTTTTTATAGGCCAGGGCTATTACATTGCAGATTTTTATGTGCTCAAAACGAAGGGATGATTTTAGGCCTCAATTTACCTTTTTAATGTCAGCATGGTGCTAATTAGGAATAAATATTATCACGTGAGAACTGTGACCCCAACTTTTTCTCCCCACTGGGTCAGAGATGTTATCTTGTTCTAGTCATGATGACCACCTCCGTGCATCCAAACTCAGAGCATGAAGCCCCAGGTAAGCAAACATCCATGTTGATGTACTGGGATTGTGTGGGCCTCCTTCACAGGAGCCAGCTAAACAATCTTAGTACATTAAATTTTTAAATAAGATCTGAATTGAGGAGTGCCAATCATGGGCTTGCAAGTGAAATATCTCATGAACACCAACAAAAAAAATTATGCCTAATTCAATTCAACTCAACTAAGGACCATTCCTAAAGAGATGATAGACATTCTACACATTTGACTGCCCTATAAGGCATCAGATATGGCTGCTTCATAGAGCCCTTCCCTAGCAAACAGCTTACTGTGAACTCCTCATAGCAGAAGTACAGTAGAGGATAGCAGATGTCAGTCCCATCATGTTTGTGCCATTATGTAGGTTTCAACCAGCTTTGAGAGACAGACGCCCATCATGAGATAGGGCTTGACAAGAAACCAGTCTGCTGATTAATCCACATGTTCCAACTAGATGCTCTCAGAGATAAACAATACAGGCTACTTTCTCTACAAAACAAAACAAAACCACTGGTTACTCAGACATCCATGAACGATCACATCAGCTCAAGAAAGTGTTACTGGAGAGTAGGACGCCATGCCTGCATCTTATGACGCCTGCTGGTAGAGGCATGTGAAGCAGGAGCTCGGGGAAAGCCTGAGGGTAACTCTGAGGTCCATTACTCAGTGAGAGATAGACAAGGTTTTGTGTAGAAATTGTCTGTGAGCAGAAGTTGGAAAAATTCTGTCAACTTTCCCCTCTGGATTTTGTTATTCAATGATATGAAGCTTGTTATTTGAAGAGAATTGCTATATAAGTAGGGATTAGATACATAATATAAGACATGATACATAAGAAAGACACACCTATTTGTCCAACAAATAATATAATAAGCCAAGGATAATTAATGCTATTGCTTGCTGAAAAGCAAGAACATTTGTTAATTGGAAACAAATCAGGAGGGATCTGTAACCCTCTTTCATATTGAGCATGTTAGTAGCTGTAGTTAAGAGAGTTGCTTGGGTGGGTACTGATCATTAAGAAAAGGGAAAATGCATCAGCTAACAATTTGTTCAATACCCCCCTGATTAATAAATGTTTCTAATTGTTGTAGAATTTATTCTCAGGCAAGATAGTGGACTTACATGTTTACCATATTTAAAATCCCAAGTTTGATATTAAATCTAGAGTTCATTATTATGTAATTCTGCTTGACCCGTGAAATTCTAAGTCTATTCTAATTCTTCTTTTCCCTCCTGTGGTGAATGTAGGAGCCCTGATTTAATTATTTAATACGGAATCATTGTCCTGAGTAAGGAGCATAGTTGAGAATAAAGGTAAGACCCGTAGTTCATGGTCTCTGTTGGGAGTCTTTTGTTTATAGATGCTAGCTGATTGATTTACAAAGGAGTAATACTCACATATCTAAAGCAGGTAACACTCCCCAAGTATGGACCCCTCACGGGAATGCAATGTGATTCAAAAAAATAATTTTTAATCCAAATTGGTGCCACAGAAATGACTTTCAAAGGAGAGGATATTCACCTTCCTCACAAGACCTTTAGTGTTACTCGTGGTGTTGTGGTTGAGCCCAGGATGCCCTCCAGTAGTTCCTTGGATGGCCTGAGATGTGAGCCTACCAGTGTTTCAGAAGTGGAATATATTAGCTTCATTGTGTTTCATGATACCATCTTTGACATATGTATGAATTAAATAAATGAGGACCACACAAAAACTACATACGGATTTGATCTGAATCAGAGATGTTGAACATTCTGTAGTGTACCTTAGACCACCCTATTGATGGAGTATGATCTAAATATCTCAATGAGAAAAGAGCCCCAACCCAAAGATCTTGTTTTGGGGACTCTGTTTTGTTAGTTATGAATTAGTCAGTTAATAAATAAAGCAAACACCCAGCATGGGCCAATGATGAGGAGCATGGGGTTTCTGAACGAGGACAGTGATTAAACCCTTATGAAATCTGAGGACTATTGCAAAGTGGTGTCTGCAGCCTGTAGAGACGAGTCCCCAAAGCCCGATCTTTGTGGATTCGAGGCACAACCCACATTCCTGTAATAAAACTAGCCATGAATAAAGAATTTATCAATGAATGAAAAATAAGAAAGCTAACACTGGGCAAGATGGCACATGCCTGCCATTCTAATACTTAGGGATTTGAGGCTGGGGCATCAGGAGCTTAAGGCCAGGCAAGGTTACATTCTCCGGAAAACAAACAAACAAACACAAAATAGAGCAACAAAACAAAATAAACAAGCAAAATAGGGCTAATGGGGTGGTTCTACAATGTAAAGGCATTTGTGACCACGCCCAATGATTGAGTTCTATCCCTGAAATGCATATGGAGAACAGACTCCTACAAGTTGTTCTCTGACCTCTACATATATGCCCCCTACACACACACACACACACACACACACACACACACACACACACACACACACACACTTTCTTTCTCTCTCTAAATGAACAAATTAATTCAAACAAAAAATGAAGAGAAACCAATGGTATACATGTACTTTTTAAAGCATTTGATGCAGTGTGTGTTATTTATCTTGATATTCTCAGTTTAGATGCCTATCAGTCTTAGAGGTCATGAGTTTTGATTATTGAAAAAGGAGGCACGTTGAGCTGTGTTGCCCCGTGTGAAGGAAAAGAAGCTACATTTTTATAACTGACTCAAGGGAGAACAGGTACACATGGAGCAACAGTGAGACATCATACAGACCATTATTGACAAAATCTAGTTATTTTGATTGAAATAAACACACACTAAATCAAGTAAGTTTGCTTCTCTTGAGCAGTGACATAGGAAAAACACATAGACCACTCAGGGGACAGGTTGAGTTTGGTTGGACGCACAGTTATCATATTGTAATTAAGAAGATACACATTCCTAAATTTGTATCTCAACCAGTATTTTTTTTTTAATTCAGCAATTATATACCAGTGGAAGACTTTATGCCATTGGGAACTTTACACCATCCACTTCTGAAATCCACAGGAAGGCAGAGATCTTGTGGCCCTTTCCAGCAGTGCATTCAGGAATTTACCTTGTTAGTGAGTGCTCCAGCGTTGATTTGATTTCCGTGAGCATTAAAATTCTGCTAGAAAAGTTATCCCGTGAGAAAGTAAACACATCAGTTAGTGTGAGTGAAGTAAAGCGGTGGTGGCGAGGTAGCTCAGTCAGTCAGGTGTTCACCTTGAAATCGTGAGGACCTGTTATCCACCCCCAGAGCTCATGTAAATTAAAAATGGTTGAGTGAGATGGTGTGTATGGGCATTCCCAGTGCTGGCGAGGCAGCAGCAGATGTGTCATGGTGTGTACTGGTGACCCCCATGCCGGGGAGGTGAGGCAGGTGGATCTCTAGGGCTTGCTGGCTGACCAGCTCCAGACCAGCTCCAGACCTAACCTCATAGAGCAAGACTGTTAACTTCTAAGGACCAGCACCAAAGGTTGTCCTCTGATCCTCTGATCTTACACACACACACATACACACACACACACACACACACACACACACACACACACACACACACGTGAACAAAAACACTAGCCTGCATGCATGTGCATCTGCTTACATGAGTGCACATTTACCTAGGAAAATTAAGCTTGGACCATCACAGAGGTTATACCATATGGTAAATTTCTCATCTCCAATTTTGCACAACGTCCAACTGAAAGGACAACTTTGCTCTTATGTATGTTGGTGACAAACACACCAGATGTTCCTAATAATTAGAGTTATTTTTCTTCTTTCTTAATACTGCTGGGTTCAGTGGTGTTTATTACATTATTTAAAATAAGAAGTTATGCGGGTTCATAAATATAAAGTGCTGTTCTCGCTTCTAAATCCCATAAGGTAATAAATATAAAGGACGGCTGCCTTCCCAAGTGTTCTGACCGGAACGCACACCAACGTTGATGGCTAATTGATCAGCCCCAACTGTGTTTCTCCTCAGAAGCTAAATGACACTAATTCATTTGAATGTTTGCCTTTTACTCCTCAGAATGAGTGCGGCTGCTATGGCTTCATGATTACCTTCTGGGAAGACCTTGCCTGCTTACCTCTGCAATAGGAGGGAAGACACAATGTAAGTGGGAATCAAAGCACTTTATGCTTGCTGGGAGAGGGGTGCCATCATGTCCACAGAATGGTTCCCGAAAAATGGCTTCAAAGTGGCCATGAGCTCGACAGTGATGGGAATGTTTTGTGAGTTACTAATCAGGATGAATCCACTTCAGCACAGCCAAATACTTCAGGATAAAAAGATGAGAGCATTTCTACCATGTCCTGAATATTTTAATGTGATTTGGATCATAGTGAACCCACATACTTCTCCATTGTATTGCATTCCTAGTCCCCTCAATGAGGGGAAAATAGAATGGAACTGTGAATCTGCTCATCAGGTGGTAGTTAATGGTGCCACCTTTAAAATATAGATATTAAGTGAATAAAGCCCAGATATATCTCTGTGAATAACAGCAATAACAGCACAGAACTGGATTCATTCAGATTTACCATGTTGAGGCTCATAGCAGAAAGGGCAGGGTGTAGCTCTGTGGGATGTGCACTGTCAAGATGTGTTTGTATCTTCAAAGATCTTTCCTCCCTTCATTCATGGATATTGGTTATATTATTAGTGAATCAATAAATAAGTCAATTAGAATATGACTGAACAGAAGTGCAGAATACCAGGTCTGGGTTGATGATGAGTATGCATCGGGGATCTTCATCCAGTGTCTTGATTAAACCTGGTCTGTGGGTGTGAGATCCTCTGTGTCTATGGGAAACGTGCTTTTGGGCTTTCATTGTTCATGTGTGTTGCTAATATGCCAATCAGTACATTAATAAAAGACAAAAGGGCTCATCCAATTAAGAAAGGAGCTAATAAAGCAAAGATTGTTGTTCATTTCTGTGAGAGGACTTAGCTATCCCTGGGTTGTTTGATGTTGGGGCTGAGTTGCTCATAGCATTACTTATTTTAAAATGTACCAATAAACTTATATAAAGAAGTTATGTATTTAATATTATATCAAATGAGTCAAACGAATATAAATTGGTACATTCATTAATACTTAATATAATGAGCTGTATTATTAAGCACACTAATATAAAAGTGTTTTGGTAAAGAACACAATTAACAGAACCCATAAACTAATGCCTAGTCCTTGAAACATGGGAACCATCAAAGCCTGAACTCTGAAACTGAATAATCTTTACAGATCCTCTTCCCTTCACTAATTTTCATCTGAAAAGAAAAATGCAACACAATACTTGCAACTTAATTGGTTTTGTTAAATGAATTTACGGATCATTTTATAATAAATTAGTGGATAAATACAAGCATCACTTGATGTTTTGACCCATTATCCTGAGGGTTGATGAAGATGGTTACTATTATTTCAAGTGTGTGAAAGAATAGTTTCATGCCTGAATTCATTACAGGAGGATAGGAATGGCAGTGTATACTTCTAAATCAAATACTGAGGAGGCTGAGGCAGAAGGATTACTGTGAATCCAGGCTAGTCTTAGCTACATAACAAGACCTACCTCAACGGTAATTTAATTTTTTTATTTAAAAATTAAAATAGTAAACAAATACACAATTATTTAATTAGTTAATCAATCCTCCCCACCCTCTTCAAGTCTACTGAGACAAAGACCAGGCACCTTCCTTTCTCATAAGGAGTTACACAAACCCCACTGTTCAGATGCATTAAGTTCAAATTACTTAAAAAAATTAAGTAATTAAGTTTCTCAGCTGTACTAGCCACTTGCCAAGCCCCATGCTGTGGTGGCTGCCACACCGAACAGTGTGCATTCCTGCAGCACGTGTTTCCAGCGTAGACAGGGCCACTGTGAAAACTTTCAGGCGTCAGTAAATACGTACAAGGAGGAAAGACAATTTCGTATTCTTTAGAAGAAGATGCTAGATAATTACATGATGCGCAGAGTTATTGAATAAATGAATTGGTAAATACCTAGACCGGATGACAGTGCAGCCCCTTGGTTGGTTGATAATGGAATATGAATTAAGAATTCATCCCATTTTGTGTAAGTTTCTCTCCTAAGAGTTCTCTGGCCTTTGTGTTGCTTGAGTGGCACATCTGTCCACCTGAACAGACAGATGAACAGACAGGTATTAATCTAGACAGATATCAATAATCCTTATTTTTGTTTTGTTTTGAGTGGCAGAGCCAAAGATCTTTCAGTTTTTTTAATTTTGTGTGAAAAATACAGCAACTTAGTGTGTAGAAATATCAGTTTGGGGATGCTGAAGTTGACAAAACTCCCTCTCATGTTAAGTAAAGCTGTGCTAACATCGACTCAAAATTCTACTGAAATGTTTATATTCCATTCCTTTGGCAGCCTGCCTTTTTCTCAGAATAAGTACCTAGCCTTGGATTTGGTCATTATCCATGATGATCTTAGTTGTTACTTTTAGGAGTAAGGAGCAGTGATGGCAACGACATGACATGAGCTTCTGCCCTAACTTTGTTCATAGACAGTCACATCAGTACAAAGAAGAAGATTATTTGCCCCTAATTAAGCCCAAGCACACTTAGTGTAGACCTGTGGAAAGCAGTGAGTAGGATGAACCCCCTGTTGGCAAAACAAACAAACAAACAAACAAACAAACAAAAAATGAAGATGAGCTTAAAAAAGCTGAAAGGAATTGAGCTGTATCCCAGAGCTGTTAACAGTACACATCTTTTCTTCACCACCGCTGGTCTGGGCATGTTCAGGTTGGTAGATACCCTGGCTGCTCATTGTGTAGAGGAAGCTCCTGAAAGGTGTGCTGTAGTTGTGGGATGCTATCCAGGATCATGCTTATTCCTTCTCCCTCTTATTTCAATAAGTGTAATTCAGTAGACACAGCTCAGGCCCCAGTCATTGGTAGAGGCTCTGCTGTGTGCATTTCGTGTGAGTTGAGTCTGGGGAAATATTGTAGCCATGTCCCAGGTCATAGTCTGTGTAAAAGCACAGTGTTTCATGAGAAAATGAAGATTTAAAATGAGAAGGAATGCTCTTGAGTAAGGATGAGGGATGGGATCAGAAGATGTCTGAATCAAAACTTTGATTAAAGCATCTGGAACTCTGATATCTACATTTTCAAAGTGGCCTCCTGTGTCTGTGAAGTAAATGGGCCTAGAGTAGATGCTCAGAATATTTGGGAATTTGGTTCAGAGATGTTCACAGCTCATGCATATAGACTGATTTTTTAAATGAGAAATTGTTCAGGCATGAGATACATAACTGGATCAGTGTGAACAGAGCTGGGTTTCAGGCATCATTGAATCCAGTAAGGTGTGTGTGTGTGTGTGTGTGTGTGTGTGTGTGTGTGTGTCTGTGTGTGTCTGTGTGTCTGTGTGTCTGTGTGTGTGTCTGTGTGTGTAGATAACAGAGGATCGTAAGTTCAGGGCCAGTCTGAGCTACACAGTGACACTTGGTTTCTGCTCTTCCTCTCACTAAAAACAAAACAAAACATAACATCTAGAATATTTATCTTTAAAACTTCCAGGCTTCATGTTATTTTTCTGTTGTTATGATTCATTTAATTTTTTGGTGAATGTGCACTAATTGTGCGTTCTAGAGGAGTGTGCTGTAAATTCATTCTTCCTTTTTTATTTTTCAAAAGTAGTCAATTTGAAAAGGGATTCTGCTGCTGCTTGTGGTGGGATGTGCAGACTCATATGCACAACCTTGATCACTCTTGTTTCAAAGTGATGAATTGAACTTGGTTCATTTTATCACTTAAAATGAATAGGTAGGTAATTGAAAAGGTGGCCTATTATTTGGTCAATGAGAAAAATGGGAATTGACTTCATGAATATTTTAGTACCAAACTAATCTCTTCTAAAATGTTCTAAATCTAAATGGCTCATTGTTTTAATATTTAGTGTTTGATATCACAGAACGAAGACTATAGCGGACTGAATTACTCTCTGAGATGGAGAGTTTGGCTGTTGCCACTGTGGTTAGGACACTTTATGACTACACAACAGTCAGAGTCCTGTAAATCAGGCCTGATTTCTTTGTAGTCTTCATTGAATTATTTAAGTTTAGCTCTCTGCAGGCCAATGATACAAATGTGTTATAAAACAATTGCTATGAATCCAATTGGCATATATTACTCACAAACCATTTTCTTCGTGCACTGTAGTTTACTTACAAGTTATCTACTGAACAATATCCAAGGCTGCATCTCCAATATGGCTGCCAGCATACACACAAGGCCGCTTATATATAAAGTAATTAAAGTGAAAGAAAATGTGAAATGCACTTTCTTTATTGCAGTGGCCACATTTCAAGTACTTGGCAGCTACCTGAGGTTATGGGGAGCTGTATTGGAGATGCGGTTAGTAACATATATGCATTGTTCTGCAAAGTGCTATTAGAGAGCTCCTCATACACAAGGGGACACATGGGAAGAAGAAAGAAGCCCAGATATGATGGTTGTGAGGCAGGCATGGGAATTGATGCATCCATGGTTCACTGAAGGCCCCCGGAAAAAATTCAGGAAAGAGCTAAGTTATGAGAAAAGAGCCTACGAAGAGACCTTGGGTCCAAACAAGCTTATTGTTCTTGGCTATTTCTTTTTAATTCATGAATATTTATTTTATTGCTGCCAGTGAGGCGATGAATGGGTCAATAAACAAAACTGTCTCTGAAAGAAAAAGAAAGAGGTCAAAGATTGCTTATGGATCAATGAGGAGTACCCTGGGATGTGTGAATGGAGGACTTTGATTAAGCCCAATAACTCAGGTCCATTTCGAAAAATCCCATCGATTATCTCTTAGGGATATAAACTTAATCTAGAAATCAAAAATAACGTGTTGTACTCTTGGGTTTCTTTGCACTAAAGCAGTGTGTAAATCAACCACGAACACTATAAATGAACACAAACAAAATGGGTAATTTCTCCTCCAAATATGTAAGTATTTAATGAAATAAGGATCATTACAAATGCATTTATGAATACTAGCACAGCGTTCTAGTAATGTATTGATTGAGGCTGATGCTGGAAGACAAGGAACATCTGGATAAATGGTTAATGTTTTCAGATATGTGTGTATATTTTTTATTAAGGAAAGAAGAAAATATTTATTTAATTTGATTATTCCCTAAATAAAATCCCAATTAAAGAGAGCTTACACATGAGTCTAGGCTGATAAAATGCCCCAGATGAACAACTGTGATTTCTCTTCTGCTTTCCACTGGATTTCAATTCCAATCCTCAGTTCAATTGAAAAATTAGAAAAATGAGTCGTTTCAATTATTGAACATATATTCTCAAATTACTATTTTCTTAATTCTATGGAATCACAGTTGTAATGGCACTACCATAAATATGGAAAAAGCATATTGTTATCTCAAGTTACGATGCCAAAGTAGATAAGTCCTGCTGTTGTAAAAAAGGGAGATGCTTGATCCAGTCCCACATGACCCAAAGACTTAATTTTTATTAAATGAAAATACTTTATTAAGGCAGATTCACAAATATCTATAGAAAAAGTTTTACACAGTTTACATAAGTTAACTCATGAAATTTTCATCATTCACAGTGTGCATCCCTCAAAAGCAGTGGCTCGGTCTGCTTTAAACAATGGGCCACATTAATAATCTCTACACACACTCTCGGTGTTTACCTGAAGACCCAAAACCTGTGTGAGTAATATTCAAAATTATTATCTTGTTTGGCTCAAAGGATTACTCTATGTTACTATAGAGTATACAGTGTATCTCAGCAACGATTTGGTATTCTGAAAAACAAAATTCATCAGAGGCACTTTTACTGTTTATGAATTCATGTGTTAAACAACAAACATGCACACATTACTAGGGAAGAGTAAGGCTAATATGGACCAATGATGACCTGTTCCCGGCGGTGATATAAGTCAAGGACGATGACTATAATTCTGGTGTCTGAGGTTCACATCACCACACATCCTATGTGCCTCTCTTAGCCAGGGAAAAAACTTTAGGCATGTGGAGCACATACTGTCCATTAGAATCAGGTACTTTCATGCATTTTTTTTTTAGTAAATCAATGAAACGTGATATAAATATTCATACACATACAAAGGAAAAATTTTTTGATGATTGATCAACTAATAAATAAATATTTTACCACAACTGATACTAATCAATGTGGATTTTGTGGAAATCTGTTAAGAAGTAATTGGCCTGAAGATGTATATAAATTTTATCCAAGTTCATATATGAAGTGTGATTAATGATTTAAGCCCCAGCAGGGTGCAGACCTTAATTTTAAATCTTACTTGAATTCTTAAGAAACTGTCATAACAATGTGAATCCTAAATAACAAATAGTGAAAGGAGAAAGGTAGAAATCATTTGATAAATACCAATCTTTTTATTATCATTCTTCCTTTGTACTTCCTGGAAGGATGATGATTGACACCGTGTTTCCTGGCTGGGAGGTCCGTGGTTGCCCTGTCCCCATGTGTTGAGGATCAAGGGAACTGATGTAAGTGGAGTCAAGATTTTTGTTTTGCTTTGGGTGGCCTTGGTCACACATTTAGGTTGTCTTGGTAAAGGCATGCATAGGCTCCCGTTAGGCCAATTGAGACTGCATGCTCAATTAAACATGACCATGAGCACCGTGTTGGGGATTTCCAAAATTAAGTAGAAAGACAGAATCAAGGTGGCACAAAATCTGTTGCATAATTTCAAAACAAATCCAGATTTTGTGACTTGTTAAAGGACTACTGCGAGTGAGGAGGATAGTCAGGTGATACATACATAGAAAGTGTGAGAGAAGGGAAAAGGGAGTGTTTGATCAATGATGACCACTGATGATGATTAATCCGTGCAGCATGACTACAGGTCTGGGAGTCTGAGCTCCACACCAGAACACATGTAGTGTGGAATTGTGATAGATGTCAGGTGTAGTGCGTGATAGTGTATTATCATGGCATTTTTGTTCGTGAGTTTTCATTACATTCATATAAATAGAGTCAAATAAAACACATGAGAGGGAAAAGCATTCTCAAATAATACCAACAAGCAATGCTAACAGTATATATATCAAAGTTCAGGAACCCACTAGTAATGAATTTCCAGAGGTATAATCCCTTGACTAAGGATGCTGTATCATGTTTAAAATGGTGGGCAAAATTCTTCAGGTTAGAACCGGGTCATCTGTATATTTTCTCAAAAAGAATTTATCATAGTTTTATATACTTAGAGAAGTAAAATCAAAAAGAACAAACACAGCGTCATTGTATTGAACTTGATTGTGTTTATAATCCATTCTTTTTTTCATTGCTCTGGATATTCCCAAGACGAGTTACCCTTCTATCTGGATCACGATGTCTACGGCTCGCCTAGGGTCTTTGGAGCACAGTGATCATGTAAGTGAAGTTCATCTTCTTGTGTTACTCTGAGTGCTTCTCCTTATTCTTAAATGAATTACAAATTACTCAAAAATGGCACAACTGGTGATGACAGATGTAAAATATCATGGACATTTTCTTAATATAATTAAGATTAAAATAAATCTGATGACATATTGAATCAAAGAATTGCTCTAAAGCATACTTAATAACACAATTCCCTAACTTGTATTTTTTCTCCATCTTTCTATCTATTCATCATCTATCTATTGATCCATCTTTGGATCTATTAATCACCTATAACCTATATGATATTATCTGTCATTAGTATTTTCCTTTTCCCATGTAACTACAGCAGCAATGACACTATCATAAATAGAGGAAAACCATATTGTTATTTCAATTCATGAAGTCATAGAGAAGGAAAGCGAGGGCTCTCTGTTGTGAAATAAATGGATGGTTAATCCAGTTCCATATCAAGCTCTAGAATGCAAATCAACTGAACCATTCATGTTTTTAAACAGTGATAGTATTTATTTATTTAGACACACTATGGTATAATACCATTTCTGTTCTGTTTTCTTGAAGTTTCAGGGATAAAGCATCCCATATGCCTCCAGATGGCACCTTATATATTTACATTTGACAGACAAATGTCAGGAACAACTTCTTTTACCTACCTTTACTCAGAAGATTTAACTTTCCCCTGGTGAGTAGGGGATGTTTAGCTATACAGACACTTGGACCATTCTTGTTTCTTATGGTTTTGTCTGGTGTTCAATTGTAGGAAAGTCAATACTTCTCACACTGTAAATGACTCTTTGACTTTGCCAGTGAGCTTAGTATACAGCAAAAATGAGGTTTGTCCCAATCAGTGTTTGTTGAGCGGGGCTTGGCTACAAAACTCTGTGTATAAACTGAGCCTTCCTCCCTACCCATTCATTTAATAATTCTGTCTTTGTATTGCTTTGTACTCCTCAGATAGACACATAAACACCTGTCATGCCCAGGTATTCAAGGAAGGGGGCTTCCCTCTCTAATCCTACTTGCTGAAATCTGTGCTCATAGCTGCTGGCTTCACAGTTCATTGTGCATCTTATCTTTAGTACTTATGGGAGGAAAGGTTGACATTATGAAACTTTTTAAATGTTAGTATAAGAATATTGCTAAAATCATTACACGCTTAAATGAATTATTCCCAAATACTTAAATGCTGTTCAGTGAAAGTACAGAGCTATTACCACAGTGTCACAAACATCTATAGAAAAAGTTTTACAAAGCTTACATTAGTTAAGTCATGAAATTTTCATCATCCACAGTGCTCATCCCTCAGAAGGAATGGCTTCAGTCTGCTTTAAACACTGGGTCACGCCCATAATCCCTACACTTAATCTCAGTGCTTATATGAAGACCCAAATCCTGTGTGAGTAATATTCAAAATTATTGTCTTGTTTTGTTCAACGATGCTCTATGTTATTATAGAGTATAGCATGTATCTTAGCAAGGGGTTTGGTTATTCCAAAGAGCAAAATATAATCAGAGGTACATTTATTGTTTTGAATCTATGTGTTAAAACAACAAACATACACACGTTACTAGAGAAGAGGAAGGTTAATATGGACCGATGATGACCAAATCTGGGTTGGCAATATAAGTCACGGACGATGACTACAATTCTGGTGTCTGAGGTTCACATCACCACACATCCTATGTTCCCTTCTTAGCTAGGAGATACATGTTAGGCATGTGAGCACATGCTGTCATTTAGAATCAGACAGTTTCATGCATTTTCTTAGTAGATCAATGAAACATGATATAAATATTCACACAAATAAATGATAATAAAAATTTCCAGCATTGATTAAGTAGTAAGTAAATATTTTGCCACTAGTGATACTACTAGTAATGCAGAAATTATGGAAATCTGTTAAGAAATAATTGCATAAAGATGTATATAAGCTTTATCCAAGTTCACAAATGAAGTATAATTAATGGATATAACCCCAGTGGGGTTCAAGATCTTAATTTTAAATCTCACTTGATCTCTTAAGACACCATCATAACAATGAGAATCTTAAATAACAAATATTGAAAGGAGAAATGTAGAAATACCTTGTTAGAGCCAGGCAGTGGTGGTGCACGCCTTTAATCCCAGCACTTGGGAGGCGGAGCTACAGCGGATCTCTGTGAGTTCAAGGCCACCCTGGTCTACAGATTGAGATCCAGGACAGGCACCAAAAACTACACAGAGAAACCCTGTCTGAGGAAAGGAAAAAAAGAAATAATTTGTAAAATATCAATCTTTTTATTATCTTCCTTCCTTTGAACTTCCTGAATGGATGATGACTGACATATTACTTCCTGGCTGAGAGGTCCACGGTTCCCCTGTCCACATGTATAAGGGAACTGATGTAAGTGGAGTCAAATTTTTTATTTTGCTATAGGTAGCCTTGGTAAGACACTCACGTCTTGGTAAAGTGTTGTAGGTTGTTTTAGTCTTTTGTGGGGCAGGCCACCCAGCTTCCAAATAAATCACACATGGAAGCCTATTCTTACTTATAAATAGCCGGCCTTAGCTTGGCTTGTATATTGACACCTTTCCTTAAATTTACATTATCCAATCTACCTTATGCCTCTGGGCTTTTCCAGTTCTCTTAGTTGTGTAAACCTCGCCCGTACTCGGTGGTTTGCTGTTTAGCTGGGTGGCTGTCACCTGATATCCTTCTCCTTCTCTTGCTCCTTCTGTCTACCTCTGCCAGATTTCTCCTTTTATTATTTATCTCTGCCTGCCAGCCCCATCTGTCATTCTTCTGCCTTGCATTTGACCATTCAGTTGTTTATTAGACCTTCAGGTGTTTTAGTCAGGTACAGGAGCAGAGCTTCACAGATTAAACAAATGCTATGTAAACAAAGGTAACACACCTTAAAATAATATTCTATAACAGTAAAGGCATGCAGAGGCTGCTGTTATGCCACCTCTGACTTTGTATCAATTTGACATTACCATGAACACAGTGTTGAGGACTTCCAAAATTATGACAAAAGACAGAGCGTCAATATGGCACAAAATATGTTAGATATCTTCATAACATTTGATTTTGTGCTATGATTTTGAAATGAAGTCATATAACTATTATAAGTTATAGATATAGGTAATAAATATAGGAATTTTGAGCGAGGAAAAGGCATTGTTGTTCAGTGATGCCCACTCATTATGTATGATCCCTGGATCATGATTAAGGACTAGGAGTCTAAGGCTCACACCAGATCACATGTAGTGTGAAATTATGATATAGAAATATGACATAGTATAATGTGTTATCATAATATTTATGTTCATGTGTTTTCCTCACAATTACATAATTAGAGGAAGATATAATAAATTAGAGGTGAAACATTCTCCAAAATAATAACAAGTAGTAGAATTAACAGTGTATATACCAAAGTACAGAAATCCACTCTTATTGAATTTCCAGGTATAATCCATGGTTGTGCATGCTGTGTTCTCATTGAAATGGTGGTCAAAGTTCTTGTTAGGTTTAGAACTGGGTCTCCTGTGAAATTTTCTTACGAAGAATGTATCATAATTTTATATTCTTAGATGAGTTAAAATTTGTTTAATATTTCTGTCTTTGTACCTGTTTGTACTCCCCAGAGGGAACACAACCACTCATCATGCTCTGGTAATCAGAGAATGTGTCCTTATCTCTCTGAGTCCTACATCCTGAAATCTGTGCTCATAGCTGACTTCATGGTTCATTTTGGGTTTTTGCTTTAATACTTAAAGGGAGAAAAGTTTGATATTATGACTTTTTAAAAATGTTTATAAAAATATTGCTAAAATCATTGCACACTTAAATGAACCACACAAAAAGACTTACATTTTATTCAGTGAAATTGCATAGCAATTACCACAGGATCACAAACATCTACAGAAAAAGTTTTACAAAGCTTACATTAGTTAACATGAAATTTTCATCATCCACAGTGCTCATCTCTCAGAAGGAATGGCTTCAGTCTGCTTTAAACACTGGTCCACTCTCTTCACTTCCTCTTGGTGTTTACATGAAGAACCAAAATCGGTGTGAGTAATATTCAAAATATTTTTTTTGTTTTGCTTAATGGGATATTCTATGTTATTTATAGAGTATGGATGTATATGAGCAAGGGAATAAGTATTCTGAAGAATATGAAATGACAAGTGCTTTTGTTGTTAATTAATGTGTTAAAGAATAACATGCACATATTACTAGAGAAGAGGAAGGCTAATAAGGACCGATGATGACCAAGTCTGGGGTGGCAGTATAAGTCACGGACGATGACTACAATTCTGGGTGTCTGAGGTTCTCATCACCATACATGCTATGTGCCCCTGTTAACCGGGCAATAAACGTTAGGCATGTGGAGCCCGTACTGACATTATAATCAAGCAGTTTCATGAGTATTAGTGGATCGGTGAAGCATTTTATAAATATTCACACAAATATCAATGAAAACAAATTTTTGAGGCATAGATCAACTAGTAAACAAATATTTTTACCACAAATGCTACTGCTACATGTGGAACCTCTGGAAGTGTGTTAACAAGTATTAGTATAAAGATGTATATAAAATTAATCCAAGTTCACATGGGAAGTATGCTTAATGGATTAAGCCCGGTGGGGATAAAGACCTTAATTTTTAAATCTTACTTGATTTCTTAAGACACTATCATAACAATGTGAATCCTAAATAACAAATAGTGAAAGGAGAAAGGTAGAAATCATTTGATAAATACCAATCTTTTTATTATCATTCTTCCTTTGTACTTCCTGGAAGGATGATGATTGACACCGCGTTTCCTGGCTGGGAGGTCCGTGGTTGCCCTGTCCCCATGTGTTGAGGATCAAGGGAACTGATGTAAGTGGAGTCAAGATTTTTGTTTTGCTTTGGGTGGCCTTGGTCACACATTTAGGTTGTCTTGGTAAAGGCATGCATAGGCTCC